TTGCCAGACCCTTTCTCTCTTGATATGGTAGCTATAATCATATATATAGTTTCCATATTTAGCAAAACATGGGAAAATGTTTTAATATGGTCAATATTGATCATTTAAAAATCTAGTGCTTATTTCCAGTGAGCTGCCATCTTTTAAGATTTCTTGCAGGAAGTGATGTCATCAACTCTCAACTTCTATAACCTTGCCCATAACAGTATAGGAAAGTAGCACAAAATCACTTCTAGACAAGTGATCATTACTTTCTGTGCAAAAATATTTTCAGGGCTTGTCAACTCAGAATAAAAGAAGGGATTTTCAGAAGGATTAAATAAGATACAAAGTTGAAAAAGAATATTTAGCTGGTTTTGTAATTCTTAATAGCTCCTCACCTAATGCTATATGCAAAGTTGAGAGTCGATGACATCACTTCCTGTGTGAAATTTTAAAAGATGGCAGCTTACTGGAATTGAGCATCACATTTCTAAGTGATCAAATTTGACCATATCAAAACATTTTTGCGTGTTTTGCTAAACATGGCAAGCATATATATGGTTATAGCTACCATATGAGGAGAGAGATGGTTTGGCAAGGAATATTCCTTTAAATAATTTTGTTACAAAACATTGCCAAAAAAATGAATCCATTTTTCATTTTAAGCCATTTTAGTTAACATTTATTTGTCTATCTGTCTCTCAGTCAGTCCACAATAGTGGCACGTTTTAAGAGCTCTGTCGAAAGGATCCCCATTTTATATTTATTGTCTGCCATTTTAGCCATCATTCACTTTTCTCTTTTTGAGCAACACCATGTGAGCCCAGTACCCATGGTACTATTTATTTTATCATTTTATCGGCAGCTATCTATGTACAGTGTATGTGTTATGTTACTTTAATTGTTGAATATTATCAAAATCTAAATAGGAATAAAATAAATGACGTTTTTTTTTCTTCATATCCCACCCTCCAAAGATTTCAACTTTCAACTGGACGCTAAAAGATTATTAACTTTGAATAGCCTTATAAAAGTCCTTGCCAATCCATGCCATGCATTTTGTCTACTTTAGGAGCATGATAGTGGGTTCAAAAATAATAGAGGCTAAACGATGATTTTTTCTATTGATTAAGACACACCGATCAGCACCATGCATTGGGAATCTTACTTTTACTTAGTTTGCTTTTTATAACATGTCCATTGTTATATATTATTTCATGATTCAACTACAGTGATCGAATAAAGCAATATTTTATGGTTCTTAGGGATTTTTGTTTTTCAGTTTTCATTTATTCCATAAAACATTCAATTCAATTTGCAATATTATTGCCTGAATTGTTCAACATGACCGGCAATATTACAAAACATGTCAATTTAGAAAGAACCAAAAAATGAAAAAAGATGAAGTACATAATATGAATAATGGGGAATGCGAGGGGCTTTGAATGGGGTTAAGCACTTAGGGTTAATTCAAAGCAATTGACAGTTTAATGGTGATTAGGGTTAATTGTATTAACAAGTTGAAAGGATGAATGGGATATAAAACTGAATTTAATCGAGGTAGAAATTAAATCTTCTTCTAAAGTATTAACCTTGTTGTTTGATGTAATACCTCTTATGAATAACGAGGTTGATCTTGTCTATTTAGGTCTTTTATTGAATAAACTGTAGATATAAAGAAATAAAGATCTAACCATCGTATGACAAAGTGGAAAATTCCTTAGACGATGACTCCCTTCATATCAAATATAATCAAGTCACTGAACAAAGAACTAGAGAATATTTAACATTAGTACCTTTCAAAAAACATGTCACTGTTGATGTTTTATGGATCATTAATAGATGCAGAGCATTTCTGTTAGAACAAGAGAAAAACTGGGGAATGACTTGTATATTGACACAATTTTCATTTCAGCAGCTTCTGTGATTAAGATTGATCTAATTCCCACCTATTTCTAGCTGTTTATAGCTAGGACATGACACTGTGGCACTGACAATTTATTTATTGCCACTGATTTCAGGATGTTGACTTCTCACTGACATTATTATACTGACATCTTGGCAATGACATTCTGTAGACATTGTTATAAGTTTGATTATTGTATATTGTCTTCAATACACATTGTTGCCTTATGCTGGTGGTCATGTATCTGTATGGTGTTGAATTCATTCATTAAACATCTGTGATACTTTGCTACATGACTTTTGCAGGACTAGGGATAGGATGGGAATGGCATGCCAAGGGGGAAACTAGAACATGCTTGAATATCGGTGTGAGGTTGGGTGTGGCCGTCTAAGCACCTCCTGCTGTATACTCCCCGCCCATATGCAAGCATTTGGAACACCTTGTGGTCTGGTGGTAGACCACATTAACAAGCATTGTTCTAGTGGGACTTAAGTGGACTTGGTGGCCTTTGGGTTCCACTTTTCTCTCTTGTCTTCACTTCATCTGCGAGGTCTCGATATTTCGCTGCTATGATCTCGTGTGAAACCTCCAGTCTGTCTTCCCATGGTACTGTTAGTTCGGTGATGAGAATGGTCTTAGTCGAACTGGAAGTCATAACCATGTCTGGGCGCAAGGTTGTTACAGCCACATTCTGAGGAAAGACTAGTTTCTGGTAGAGATCTACCTGAAGCTACCAGTCTGTTGCATTGGCCAAGATGCTTGGCTCGGGTTGTGGTTTGGGTGTGTTTGCAGCTCTGGGTTTCCCTTCCTTGATAAAGCCTATCTTCTGTTGTTGTAGTATTGTTGCTCTATTGGATAAAACCTCTCTGCTAGTCGACGTATTTGGCGATTTCTTGAAGAACCTTGTTGTGTCTCCATGTGTATCTGCCTTCGCTCAAGGACTGGGAGCAAGAGCTTAGGATGTGTTGCAGATTGCAGCAGTCTCCTTTGCAGAGTGGGCACTTATCAGAATCTTCCTTTCCCCAGACTTCGATTGGGAAGATGGATGCGTGCCAGCCTCTTGTCTTCTCTTCATCTGCGAGGTCTCGATATTTCGCTGCTTTGATCTCGTGTGAAACCTCCAGTCTGTCTTCCCATGTGGTTAAGGTGTGTTTGCAGCTCTGAGTTTCCCTTCCTTGATAAAGCCTATCTTCTGTTGTTGTTGCATTATTGTTGCTCTATTGGCAAAACCTCTCTGCTGGTTGACGTATTTGGCAATTTCTTGAAGAACATGGTTGTGTCAACTCTTTTCAGATATAAACATTAGGATTGTAAGCTTTTTGAAAAGATTCTTTCCAACATTTTACACTCTAATTTTTAGTGCCACCTGTTGTGATTGTTTAAATAGCTATCTTATCAAAGTGCTTTTTGGCTCTGATGTGGATGTTGGCATATTGAATCATCCATTTTTACTAATTCATTACCTTCATCTGTCTGTATCACTCTGTTTTATATTTCCGAAGAGAATTGCCATTATAGTCAATGACCTTCATGAGTTCATTGACTATTAAGTAAGATGGAATGACTGGCTGACTTGACTGACCCAAAACAAGTAAGAATAAAGATCATTGACTATTAAATAAGATGGGATGGGACTTTTCTGACACAAACCAAGCAGGAATAAGGATCATTGACTATTAAGTAAGATGGGATGGGATATTTTTGACCCAAACCAAGCAAGAATAAGGATCATTGACTATTAAGTAAGATGGGATGGGACATTTCTGACCCAAACCAAGCAAGAATAAGGATCATTGACTATTAAGTAAGATAGGATAGGACATTTCTGACCCAAACCAAGCAAGAATAAGGATCATTGACTATTAAGTAAGATGGGATAGGACATTTCTGACCCAAACCAAGCAAGAATAAGGATCATTGACTATTAAGTAAGATAGGATAGGACATTCCTGACCCAAACCAAGCAAGAATAAGGATCATTGACTATTAAGTAAGATGATATAGGACATTTCTGACCCATACCAAGCAAGAATAAGGATCATTGACTATTAAGTAAGATGGGATGGGACATTTTTGACCCAAACCAAGCTGGAATAAGGATCATTGACTACTGTATTAAGTAAGATAGGATAGGACATTTTTGACCCAAACCAAGCAAGAATAAGGATCATTGACTATTAAGTAAGATGGGATGGGACATTTCTGACCCAAACCAAGCTGGAATAAGGATCATTTACTATTAAGTAAGATGGGATGGGACATTTTTGACCCAAACCAAGCTGGAATAAGGATCATTTACTATTAAGTAAGATGGGATGGGACATTTCTGACCTAAACCAAGCAGGAATAAGGATCATTGACTACTGTATTAAGTAAGATAGGATAGGACATTTTTGACCCAAACCAAGCAGGAATAAGGATCATTAACTATTTAGTAAGATAGGATAGGACATTTCTGACCCAAACCAAGCAAGAATAGGGATCATTGACTATTAAGTAAGATAGGATAGGACATTTCTGACCCAAACCAAGCAAGAATAAGGATCATTGACTATTAAGTAAGATAGGATAGGACATTTTTGACCCAAACCAAGCAGGAATAAGGATCATTGACTATTAAGTAAGATAGGATAGGACATTTCAGACCCAAACCAAGCAAGAATAAGGATCATTTACTATTAAGTAAGATGGGATGGGACATTTTTGACCCAAACCAAGCTGGAATAAGGATCATTTACTATTAAGTAAGATGGGATGGGACATTTTTGACCCTAGCCAAACAAGATAAGGATGTTCTGACATCAACCAAGTAATTAAAGAGGTATTTCTGACATTTACCTTGAGCGAGAATAATGGTGTTCTGAGTGGTTCGTACTAACTGCTAAGTAGTTAATGAGGTGTTTCTAACCAACAACAAGCAAGAATAAGGGTGTTCTTGACATTAAACCAAGTAATTAAACAGGTGTTTCCAACTCTAATCAAGTTAGAATGGGGATGCCCTTAACCATAAAAAGCAGCTATTTTTTCTAACACTAAACCTAGCAAGGAAGCAAGTATATCTGACCTAACCAATGAGATCTATATAACATGCCATATATTTCTCCTTATCCAGATCGGCAGTGTCTAAGGCAGCGACAGATGATCCTTAAAGCACAGGAAAGACTTTTGCAGACTTTACAACTTAACATTCAGCGAAACCATCCCAATGATTATGGCATTTTCCCACGCTTGCTTATGATGATGTCAAACATTCGTGAATTGAACGTTGAACATAAACAAATCTTACAAAGCATCATGGAAAAGGGTGGCGAAGTCCCCATTGCAGCTGATGAATTACATAGTGAATTGATGGATTTAAATCAGCAGTAGTATTGTGCACTTAGGCCCCTATTGTATTTATAATTGGATAATGTTGTACTGTATATATAATAATGCCATTGGGGAACAACCGAAGCGACTGTGGTGATAATTCACCATTAAAGCTATATAACTGATTAAAAAGGTCAATGAACCATAACACAGCAAAAAATTTAATGTTATTTAACCTGTGGTTATTAGATAGATATTGATACACCAGATAAGCAAGCAAACCACTAAGGAATTATATGAATGTGTGAAAACATGCAATATCATAATAAATGCCATATTTCAAACGAAGAGAAATTGAAGAGATATTATTGATGTTGTAAAATATATCTGTGCAGCTTGCTTTGGAATAAAATAGTTAATTAAAGAATGAAAGAGTAGAATTTGTAAGGAAAAGAGTTAAACACGTTTCTGTTTTTTTTAATACTTATGTAAGCCAAACAACTTGATAAGTTAAACACTTGTATAAGCCAAACAACTTGATTAGTTAAAAATTTCTGTAAGTTAAACACTTCTGTAAGCCAAACAACTTGATTAGTGAAGCACTTCTATTAGTTAAACAACTTGTTTGGTTATTCTGTAAGCCAAACAACTTGATTAGTTAAAAACTTCTGTAAGCCAAATAACTTGATCAATTACACATCTTTAAGTCGAACAACTTGTTTAATAATCGTGTCAGCCAAACAACTTTATTAAGCGAATTACTTCTGTTAGTGAAACAGCTTTATTTGTTAAACACTTTGGTAAGCCAAACAACTTACTTCTGGCTAACTGAAAGAAATGGTGGTAAAAAATTTTGTAAGGATGCTTTAAGCAAAAGAATGACAGTCTCTGTAAAAACTTAGCAATATTATGACTCATTATTCTTCATCAATATGTAAGGTATGTGATTTGTGAATTTAATCAACACATATAATACATGATGGAAAAGTTGTATAAAACGAAAAAAACATACAAGACATAGGCAAGCCCTTAAGGTTAAAACATTTCAACATATTTGGCTGAAATCTTGAAACTTGACATTTTCTAATGATTCTCATATGACGCTTCAATTTATTGACATCACATATGACGCTTTAATTTATTGACATCACATACAGATTGAGAGTAAATTGCACATTAATTTATGGGAGGGTTGGAGCATGGGACATCTATACCTTTATGAACATTGCTTAGTTATGTGCTGCCTTGTATGTTTCACACTAAATTCAATGTGTAATCGCATTTTTTAGACTATTGGTATGGTGGCTGGTAACATATGAAGGGCCATTTTAAAAGAAAAGTATGAAAATAATAGCCTATGGAATTTAATGTGAAACTTTTTTAATAACATTACACTGCTGTTTTGTTGTACTGTATCTCTCGAGGCAGATCTATTTATCTAATAAGTGAGGGAGGAGTGCAGGGCTCTCACCAGGAAAATATTTAGGGTGTGGTGGAAACATCTTAAGCATAACCATTCAGTGATAAATTGTATTTATGTCATATTTTATCCTTTTTACATGCTATTATTGTGTATTCAGTCAAGTTTAGACTGTGGAAACAATCATGATTTGCCAATAGGGTGTGGTGGGAGCTAAAAAGACTGTGGTGCTGCGACACAGTCTAAAATCCTAGTGAGAGCCCTGGGGTGTGGTTTCAATTAGATTAACATTTTTTTGTTGATAACCAATAGATTTGATAGCTGCTTGCTGCTAATTCTGCATTTTTTTAGTAGAAGACCATAACATTTTTTTTCATTATGCAATTCAGTGATTTAATCTACCTGGGTTTATTTACATGTCTTGTATTACTCTTACTCTTATATGATGTTTTTTATCCCATCGAACAAAGTTCGGAGGGATATACGGAACATCTCCGTCCGTCCGTCCGTACGTACGTACGTCCATCAGTCCGGGCAATAACTCAAATACCGTTGGCCCGATTTTGTTCATATTTTGTACAGGTGTACCCTATGGGGGAAGAAGTTCTGCTCGAAAGCAGATTTTCAAAATGGCCACTCATTTCAAAATGGTGGCCATTTTAGTGCCCATTTTACAGTAATTTAGGTGCAATATGTAAAACTGTAGTAGCAATATGTTTTAAATGTAAAAAAATTATATAGGACATTAATAAAGCTATAAATGTAGATATTAAAGAAGCACATGGCAGCCATCTTGAAAAATGGCGGCCTTTACTCGTTATTTTACGATTTTTGCTGTAACTCGAAAAGTAGTGGAGCGATTTTGATCATATTTGGTATGTGAATACTATAAGCATGGCACACTGTCTATTGACACTTTTGGTAGAAGGTGGCCACTTTGAAAAATTTATTAGTTTTATTATTTTGAAAAATGGCCGCCATTTTAACGTATTTTACTATAACACGAAAAGAAGTGGAGCGATTTTGTTCATTTTTGGTATGTAAATACTATAAGCATGGCCACTCATTTCAAAATGGTGGCCATTTTAGTGCTGATTTTACAGTAATTTAGGTCCAATATGTAAAACTGTAGTAGCAATATGTTTTAAATGTAAAAAGATTATATAGGACATTAATAAAGCTATAAATGTAGATATTAAAGAAGCACATGGCAGCCATCTTGAAAAATGGCGGCCTTTACTCGTTATTTTACGATTTTTGCTGTAACTCGAAAAGTAGTGGAGCGATTTTGATCATATTTGGTATCTGAATACTATAAGCATGGCACACTGTCTATTGACACTTTTGGTAGAAGGTGGCCACTTTGAAAAATTTATTAGTATTATTATTTTGAAAAATGGCCGCCATTTTAACATATTTTACTATAACACGAAAAGAAGTGGAGCGATTTTGTTCATTTTTGGTATGTAAATACTATAAGCATGGCACACTGTCTAGTGACACTTTTGGTAGAAGGTGGCCACTTTGAAAAATTTATTAGTAAAAAATTATGCCAGCCATGGCTGTTCGATGGGATTTGCTACACTTTGGCGATGCTGTTGTCTAGTTTGAAAATTGTTCAAAATCTTAAATCTTTTTATTAATGCATTTATACTTTAGATTTTTATAAATACATTGGTTGAAAAATTAATTAGTAGTAGTTTTGGTCTCTCATTCTCACTGAAACACTTACATAATGCCTATGATAGCTAACAAGGTATCCCCCATCTTATAATTTACAGATCGGACCAGTCTTATCGACCCAGCCAAGGTGAGCTCCATTCAAGACCAAATCATCAAACCTCTCCAAAGGTTGATAGCTTTTAATCACCCGGAAAACATTGGATGTTTCCCGAAACTGCTCATGTTAATGTCTAGCTTGAGGGAACTAAACATTGAGCATAAAAACATGCTAGAATTGCTTCGAGACTCTTGTCAAATGGAAAGTTCTCAAGATTTACATTCAGAAATGTTTGACCTTGATAGGGATCCATGTACAAGTAGCAACCAGCAAACCACTTTTTGATAGTGCTCCTTAATAGTAATTCATGTAAATGTAAATAATTGTTTATAGTACCAACTATTTATGGTACCCCCATTATGATGTCAATTTTTTATTACAGTATCACCTGATGATTGTACACTGTTAGATGTTAACAAATGTTTATGGTACCCTGTTGCGTCATTTTTTTAAAGTACCCTTTTTCGGTGTTAACAAATGTTTTTAGTACCAACTTGGTGGTGTGATTTCATTTACATCATGTGCCTTGTTTTCATATATGTAGTATTAAACAGGTATGTCATGTGATTTGAACAGGTACTTAGTACCGTATTAAACAAGTACCAGGAGTAAACAGTATTAATTTATAAGCATGTATTTTTATTAAAAAGGTATTTGCTTATTCCTCTTCTCTAAAAGTGTATAATAGGTGTTTGCTTTAAAAAGGTATTCTGCTTACAGAGGTGTTCAACTAATACAGGTTTTCAGCTTATAGGTGTGAAATCTAAGAGAGATGTTTAACTTTGCATTCAATCTGTTTCTTATCTACTGTACTCCCGGTATTTTTCATGTGCGATTTATTTTTGCACTTTTCGTGATTTGGGTAAAATATGGAAAAATAATCATTGCGAAATTTTACAATTAAATCACCGGGGATTTGTCATTACCTGCGACTCCAATGTGTCTCTTACACTGGCTAATTAGATTATACTGGCTTATTAGATAAAAAAAAAATATATTAATGTAATAGAGGTTGAGGTGCAGCTTGCCATTCACCAAGATCTAGTAGTTGTAAATCTTATCCAGATATGACATTAGTTAGCTGTAATTACTGTACATAAAGTAACTTAGTTTACAGAGCTTGGGGATTCAGAGAATAATGAAATTTAAACTTGTGAAATCTGTAAAATTTAATTGCAGAGAAATTATGATTTTTCAAATTCGCGATATCTAAACTCAGGAAATTTACTGGGAGTACAGTATATAAATTCCGATTCTTCTTAAACATTTCCACATTTGTTCAAGAAAGTGAGGAGGTATCTTATGGTTATGTGGTTTAATGTAACAGAGTATATTTCATGTTAGTATAGTATATTAATATTCATGTTTTTACTTATACGATCAGATGTGAAACATCATGTGACACCAAACATCCGATAACACCAACATTTGAGCAGGAAATATCTGGGGTATTTCCCCTCTTAACTTACCAGTACTTTAATGCTTTGCTATATTGACAGATAATTCAGTATAATGCTAATAAGTGTTTAAAACATCAAAGATGACCGAGAAATGTACATGGTAATACATGTAAATCTCAATCATTTTTGATGATAGATAATTAGATCTACATGTATTGCTCCAAGAGAGGAATAAGCTAATTGCGCACCAAGGTCCTATCTCCATATAAAGATGGACCTCTATTTTTCTTTTATTGACCGATGACTTACATTGTCATGCCATGTAATCATTGTTGATTTTTTAAAAGACATTTATTGATGCCATATGTAGGTGCCTAAATTATATTTCTAAATTTAGTAAATACCTTTTGAACTAAAGATTGTTAGTTTCTGTCCTAATTAAGCAATTTTGTAATTCTACATCAAGATAAAGAAAAATGTAAGGAGTATGATAATATTGTATTATGAGGAGTATGATAATGTCATATTATGAGGAGTATGATAATGTCATATTATGAGGAGTATGATTATGTCATATTATGAGGAGTATGATTATGTCATATTATGAGGAGTATGATAATGTCATATTATGAGGAGTATGATAATGTCATATTATGAGGAGTATGATGATGTCATATTATGAGGAGTATGATTATGTCATATTATGAGGAGTATGATAATGTCATATTATGAGGAGTATGATAATGTCATATTAGAGCATCATATCAATGTGTACTATTCAGATGATAGATGGTGGAAAAGTAGCACAAGACAAAAGGGTATTAGGAAGAGGTAATTATGAGGTCAACGA